GTTCCTGTTTTTTTAAGACAGGTTTTCTCTATGTAGTCCTGGCTGTCCTGGAACTTGTTCTGTAGACTAGATTGGCCTAAAACTCAAGAGATCCACCTGTCTCTGCCTCCTGGAACCACCTGGCTGTTCATTTCTTCTTATCATGCTCTCTTCCAGGTCTCACAGTGGCTGTCATGCCTAGGGGAAATCAAAGGGAAGCTACTAGCTGTCCCACCCACCACACCCCCTGCAAATCCACCATCCTTGAAGTCAGCCCCAGCTTCCACTGCTTTGAGTCAGCTGGGCCTTAGGTTCAGATGTTGTCCACAGCTGCAGGCAGTCTTGGGTGAATGTAGTGAACCGACTGGCACCTTCAGTGGGAAAGGTCAGAAGTTCTCCAGCCTGTAGTCCAGCAGGCTCCCTTTTGTCCTGCCACACATCCCCTACATGTGGGGCCCTGCTACTGTGAGATCAAGCACTGTTTGACTGTTTGACCTATCCCTGTGAGGCCCAGAAACAGTATAAATACAGCCAAGGTCTGGGCTCTCTACCTTGAGTCCTAGTTAATGGCCCTGTACTTTTTCTTCTCCCCAAGAAATTATTTTTTTATTAGAAACAAGCTTGCTTCACATGTCAATCCCTTCTCCCTCTCCCTCCACTCCCCGGCACTGTATTTTTACTCCATCTAACCCCTCACTAATAATAGCTGGACCATGATGTGATTGTACGTGGAACTGGGAGTAAGGAGGGGACTTCTCATCCCACAGACTAGTAAAAGACATAAACGTTCAATTAAAGTTCACTTCAAAACAAAACTCATCCATGCCTTAAGATTTATTACACATACAACATTATGACTCCACGCCAGAAGATAGCACCATATCTCATTACAGATGGTTGTGAGCCATCATCTGGGTTCTTCCAGAGGAACTCGGGTCAATTGGAAGAACAGCCAGTGCTCTTAACCTCTGAGCCATCTCTCCAGCCCCCATCCAACAAGCCTTTTTTTATATGACTATCCTGGGTCTCTAAATTGTGAGCCACCAAAAAGTTGTGAATATCTTATCTGAAAACAGGACCTATGACAATGGATTAGGGTTGCCATAGTCTGATCATTAGTTTTTGTTTTTTTTTAATTACATTTCTGACTGTGTGCCTGTATGAGTCTTTGTATATACTTCTGTATGTTTCTGTGAGTATACATATACATGTCTATGAATGTGTATAAGTGGTTGTAAATGTGTATTTTGAAATGTGAACGCACGAATGCACACAGCTATTTGCTCACATGAGGCTGGAGCAGAGCATCAGGCGTTTTCTATCATTCTCCACTTAATACCTTGAGACAGGGTCTCTCATTGAACTGAACTGGAAGCTCAATGTTTGGCCTAAACTGGCTGGACAATGACCTTTTGGGATCCCCTTGTCTCTACCCCTAATACTGAGGCCACAGGTACCTGCCCCTAGGTAGTTTATGTAGATACTGGTGATTTGAACTCAACTTTCCCCACTGAGCACTTTCCCAGAGGGAGCACTGATGGAATCCTGGTGCTCCAGTGACATACCTGTGCCTGTACCTGAAAGCTGGAATCAATCTTCAGGCACATGTGTCAAGACAAATAAAACTTTTGTTTTTGTTTTTACAAGACAGGGTTTCTCAATGTAGCTTTGAAGCCTGTCCTGGAACTCACAGATACCTGCCTGAGTTTGCCTCCTGAGCAATGGGAATAAAGGCATGTGCCATTACCGCCCAGATTTCAGTGAAAACCTTTTTAAAGGATAATGAATGTTAGGCACAATGAGTCTTAACATTTCCCGAAGCACTTTTCTTGGTCCTGGGAAGTAGAATTATCACTATAATTTAATTTTGGTCAATACAGACCGGGGACATGGAAAGGGGGAGTCCACTTGTATGAACAGAGTTGTCTCAAACTTGTAACCAGGAAGACAGAATTAATAACTCAAATGGTTAAGAGCATGGATTGCTCTTCCAAAGGATTCAGGTTCTTTCTCTGCACTTACATGATGGTTCACAACTGTCAATAACTTGAGTTGGAGGGATGTCTTCTATACTCCAAGGGTACCAGGAGCACATGTGGCACACATAGACATAGACATGCACACATGCAGGTAAAACCACTCATACACAAATAAAAATCAAAGCTTTAAAAAAAAAAAGGGGTGGGGAGCTGGAGAGATGGATCAGAGGTTAAGAGCACTGGTTGCTCTTCCAGAGGTCCCGAGTTCAATTCCCAGTGACCACATGGTGGCTCACAATCATCCGTAATGAGATCTGGTGCCCTCTTGAGGCATGCAGGCATACATGGAGACAGAATGTTGTATACATAATTTTAAAAAAGCATACCAATATAGAACCAGCAACATGACTCGGGGTAAAAACACTTGCTGACTTGTGTTCAGACCTTTATAAACATTATCTGGCACACTTGTGCCCACATGCATTCAGTATTTTCCAATTTTGAAGACTGAAGTTGCCAGGATAGTTTTGGTACTTGCTTTTAATCCCAGCACTTGGCAGAGGAAAGAGATCTGAATTCAAAGGCAGACAAGGAAATAGAGAAACTCTGTCCTGAAAACCAAAAAATAACCAAAATTCCCCTATGTAAAAACAGGCTCAGCAAGGCTTGGTGGCACACTCATTTAATCCCAGCACATGGGATGCAGAGGCAGGCAGATCTCTGAGTTCGAGGCCAGCCTGGTCTACAGAGCAAGTTCCAGGACAACCTCCAAAGCAATACAGAGAAACCTTGTCTCAGACGCCCCCCCCCCAAAGAAACTAGGTTCTCTGGTACTTGCTGAGCACAAAAACAGGTACACCACCTAGCATAAACATTAACCCAGCAAATTAGCAAGACCTCACAATACAGCACTATTTACAATAGTCTTCTAATTCTGATGGGGGCCAGAGTCACTGGTTAAGAGCACTTGTTACTCTCGTATGAGTATCCATATTGGATTTTTTTTGTTTTTCTAGACAGGGTTTTTCTGTGGCTTTGGAGGCTATCCTGGAACTAGCTCTTGTAGACCAGGCTGGTCTACAGAAATCCACTTGCCTCTGCCTCCCAAGTGTTGGGATTAAAGGCGTGCGCCACCAAGAGTATCCATATTGGTTTACAACCATCCCTAAATTTCCAGTTCTGGGGAATCCAATGCCTTTTGACTTCTGGGCACCAGGCATGCATGTGGTACATACATCCATGCAGACCAAAACTATGTAATAGCACACAAAGCATGCATGTCTTCTGCTAAGACCAGGGTTAGGGTTAGGATGGGGATGGTGAATGCATTGTGTATACTAAGGCTCAAATCCACAATCATAGTGATTGGAAGATGACCTGCAGCTAAGCAGAAATGAAGAGGATCCTTGTCTTTTCACATAATTTAGCTCTCATGTGTTCAGTGCACCACCACTGCCTGGCTGCAATCCCACTCTTAACATAAAATTAAAGCTAGCTGTGGTTGTGTATCAGTAATAACACCACCAGCCGGGGAGAGGGATAGAGACAGCAGGATATCCAGGGGCTCAGTGGCTGGCCAGCACAGCATATAGGTTTCAGGACAAGCAGGAGAGCCTCTTAATGAACTGGCCAGAGGAAGACACTTGAAAACTTCCAACATGAGAAAACACACAATGACACATAGAAACATATGAAGCTGTTTAATTAGGTCGATAGCAATTTAAAAAACCAGTTTGTGAGGATACATCCCGTTTGTCAGAGAGAACTGAGACCTCAGGTAGCCCTGGAGCTGAGGAACAGCTTTGATCTTTGGCAAAAGCTGTGAGTCCACAGTTTTCTGATCGGCCTTGCGCTGCTCTGTAATCTCGTATTTCTACACAGAGAAAAGGAAACATTTAGAACCAACACTCCCCAGAAATAGTCCTACTGCTTCAGGGACTGATAAAGCAAGCCATAACCCTCCCCCAGGACAGATCAAGAACAATTTAGGTCATAGGTCACACCTGCCACCCAGAACAATCGAGTCAGGCTGTTTACATCCTCACCTCCTTCTCTGTGTCGAAGATCTCACCCTCCTGGTGCCTGGGCTTGCGCAGTTGCTTCTTCTTAAAGTAAGCATCAGTCAGGTGTTTGGGGATTTTAACTTCGCTGATATCAACTTTTGTAGAGGTGGCAATGACAAATTTCTGGTGTGCTCTTCGAAGAGGAACTCTGTTGAGGGCAAGAGGTCCTGAAGGAAAAATAAGAATTAACACTGAAAAATTAAGATTTGGTCTGCACATGGTGGCACATGCCTTAATTTCAGGAGAGGAAGACAGACTGGTATACACATGAGACCCTGTTTCAAACAAGAAAAAAGGCTAATTGGAGCATGAGGGCATAGTTAGAGATGGTTCAATGGTTAAATGACAGCCACTGATGCAGAAGACCCACCCACAGAGGGTCCACAACTGCCTAATTTGGAAAATGCCACCTGCTCCAAAAACTGCCTAAAAAGGGCTTCTCTTCTCTCACCCTACTTTTTCAAGGGACCCAGGTGAGAAGCCGGCCATCTTTTACACAGGCCAGCTGAAATTTGCCTGGAACCATTCCCTCCCTCCCACTGCCCCTGAGATCTGTCTGCCTTGAAAGGCCTGAGTTCGGTGATTAAAGGTGTGCTCCTATCACCCAGCCATCATTCATCTTCATCTGTCCACACACGCCTCATGCTGTACGCACAGCTCCAAGAGTCTCACTGCTTTCAAAATGTGAAGCACAGGGCAGCACGTAGGCTGTGTCACCTGAGTGCTGCTTCATAAGGCACACTCAATGTAGACTGCATTTGTATGTGCCATGCTCCAGTTCACAAGTGGAGAGGAGGGGACAACTTGCACAGCAGGAAAGCCGAGGCAGGGGGAATTCTTTAAGTTTGAGACTCCCTGGAACTACAAGCAAGCCTTGTCTCAAGGCAGGAACAGTGACTGGCACCTGCAATCTCAACACGAAGGAACTAGAAAGATTAGGACAAGACTATTCTGGGCTCCATAACATCCTGTGAAAACACACTAAGGATTTTCTTTTTATTTTATCAGTTCAAATTAGGAATAATCTTGCTTCAGATATCAATCTTTTCTCCCTCTCCTCCCCCACAACATCCCACCTGCCCCTAGCCATCCCCCCCTCTACTCCCCAGGCAGGGCACTAAGGATTTTCTTACCTGTCACAAGTAGCAAGCCGCTGCCCAGCTGCTTCAGGAAGACCACCCTCTGGACAGAAGTCAAAGAGAAAATGGTATTTAGCAATTGAATGCCAACTTCTGAATTAACCAAAGCACATAGCTGGTAAAGAAAAGGTCTAAGTCAGTGGTTCTCAACCTTCTCAATGTTGCAACAACCCTTTAATACATTTCCTCATGTTCCCAACATAAAATTACCGTTACTTCTTCCACAACATAAAATTACTGTTGCTTCTTCCACCTGCCTAGTGCTGGGATTAAAGGCAAGGGCCACTAACGCCCGGCCTACTATTGCTGAACTGTAACTTTGCTATTATGAATTGTAGTATCTGATACGCAGATGGTCAATACCCACAGATGAAGAGCTCCTGGTCTACAGGCAGGTGTGGGAGGAGCACACCGTGGGTGGTAGCTTAGCCTGGCCAGAATTTTTTTTGGGAAAAAAGACCAAACACCAAAAGGCAATTTCTAAGCATACAAGTCCAGCTAGTCTATTAAAGAACTAAACCACATACCCAATCCACAACAGCACCAGACAGCATATATAAAGCAGAAACTTGTTAAAGCAGAAAATATTTCCAGTAGGTAAAAAAGCAGGATGGCAAGCAAGGACTAGCCTCTGCTGAGTGACAAGCTGCCTTGGAAAACAAATCACCCACACATACACCAAAGAAAGCAAGCCTATTATGATCCAGACCCCTTTGGGACACTTCTCACCTTGCCCCTGTGGCGCCCGGTGAGGATGATCAGGACAGTCCCTGGAGTGATGCTGGCACGCAGCTTCCTTACATGCTGACTGAAGGGCTTCTTGCCATGGCTCAGCAGCTTCCGAGGAACATCTTCAGTAGGGTAATACCTGGGCTGGAGAGAGTGCACGAACCACACTTAAAGCTGCTCAGATTAGCAGGGTTGAGTTCAGAGGAAACATGAAAAACAGCTTCTCCTTCACAGTGTTTCTCTGTAGACCAGGCTGGCCTTGAACTCAAAGAGATCCATCTGCCTCTGCCCCTCCCCTAGTGCTGGGATTAAAGGCGTGACACCTCTTAAAATTCATTTTAAATTATGTTAGTCCAGGACATCAAATGACCCTTGGCGTTGGGAGTCGCAGATGGTTGTGAATAGCCTGTAACAGAATTCTGGCCCTCCAAAGAACAGCATGTGCCTTAACCACTGAGCCATCTCTCCAGCACAATTTTTGTTTGGTTTTCAAGACAAGGTTTCTCCATATAGCCCTGGCTGCCCTAGACCTCAGTCAGAGATGCCTGCAGGCTCCAGAATGCTGGGATTATAGGTCATGCGCCACCACAGCCCTGCTTCAGCTTTACAATGCACTTCTTCAGAATGCCTCAGCCAGATACGGGGGAGGTAGGATAACAGGGAACTTCATGTCAGCCCAGGCTTTCTCAAGCGCAGTAACAATGAGGGGAAGGAAACATAGTATTTTCTCATCAAGATTTTATCTCCTAGGTAGGCAGACTCCCAGCAGCAGAAACACAACTTATACCCATTTTCCCCCAGAAAAATACTATGGCATTATCCTTGTTAAATTAACTCAAAATCTCCACTTGCAATGGAAAAGCCAGAACTTCAGTGTGCTAGACCTACACCGCACCCTGACAATCTATTCTAAGTATATCAAACTAATCCATCCTCTCTTATAGACAAAGCCTCAACCCAACACAACCTAGCAAGCAAACCTAACAGTCTAGAACCATGTTTCCTCAATCTGGCAAAAACTCATCCACATTCAAATTCCTCCGTACCTCCTCCAGATCTTACCATTTTTCGAAGCTTAACCACCCGAGTACCACCATTCTTGTCACCGCCAACTGGTTTAGTGACAGTAGCAAGGACCTTTTCCTTTTTCTTCTTCTTTTCAACCTACAAAGACAAACCCATGAGGGAGTGTGGCAGACCACCACGGTTAAATTGTAACGGCAGGGCAGGGTATTTCTCTCCGTTCTTACCTTGGTTTTTGCAGCTGAGTATTTTCTCTTGTATAGGGCCTTTCTGGAATACATAGCAGATCGGGAGTACCTGCCAATTCCTCTCACCAGGACAGGGTTCCGGCTTCAATGGGGCTTCCCCTTCTTGGGTTTTTTAACCTTAGGGTCACCCTTTTTGGCTGCACCATCGGCATCACCACCAGCCTTCTTGGCTGCTGGCTTTTTCTCTTTTGTGTCAGGCTTCTCGGCTTTTTCACCCGCCATCTAGAGATGTTAAAAATAATAATTATAATAATAAAAAAAGGCATCTCATCAACCATCTGTAACAAGTCAATACCAGAACCAACCCTCCACTGCTTGCAAAACATCTTCCTCCCAAAGGACACTCATGTAAATGTCTAGGACCATTAGTAAAAATTTGCTTATTTTATCCTTCCATTTTGTGAATCAGAAAAATCTATACAGCAAGGAAGCCCCTGCTTCGAGCCTATTTTCCCGTTTTACTGTGCGACCCACTTCAGTGCCAGCGGCCTACAGGCAGAGGCCAGGCAATGGTTCGGGGCCGCGGGTTGCTCTAGCACGGGACACTATGACAGGCCCAGGGCAACGGGCCTGCCATAAATCCAAACCCATGCAACTAACTACTCGTGACTTTTTAAGACCCCTTACTCTAGGGTCGCCCTCGGGTCCCGGTGCCACTATGTCCCCAACTTTGCCGAGAAGGCAACAAACGGCACTCTCCAGAAGAGTTCCAGGGGAGCAGTTTCCCACTTAAGCCGCAAAACACAACGTGGCCGAGGCGGGCCCCGCCAAGTTCTGGAACCTCGACCTCGGTTTCGGGGACGCACGCCACCACACGGGCCCTCTAAGACTCCCGAGGTTACG